ACACATATTCTTTTGGTTTTGAAACTAAATGCAATGGGACTAAATGCAAATGGCTAGAAGCATTGCTGTCAATGATATATAAAATTATATAAGAAACCTAAATATAATCCTAGTGAGTTTATTTGATGTATGAAAATAATTAACTGCTTTAAAAAAGTCACCTGCTGAAGAGTGACAAGAGTGGTTCAGGTTTTGAAGTTATACTTCAATGCAGAGAATCACTGAAATGAATGGGAATGGGGGGATATGGCTGAGCTGCTTCAAATTATTTTTCTGCTCTTACACTGATCTTTCAAATTAGGACTTTGAAAATATATAGGTCTAAGGTCATCTTGATGCATGCTGTACCCCAACTGTGAGAAGTATTTAGGTACGTGTTGGTATAGGGCTCAGTTCTATAAATAACGCTTTCCTCTCAGTGCTAGGTAAAGCAGCAGGGTTTTGTTGCTGTTGAGGAAGGAAGCTGGTTCATTGTCTCAGCACTAAGCAGCATTTTCTCCCTCCAGGGACTTGCAGAAGCATCTAGAATGTGTAGGTGTTTCTTTAATCTTGGAGAAGGAACTTATTAAGCTTTCTGGTGCAGAACTGTATGAGCCACTTACTCTTAACAGATGTTATCTGCACAAGTAGGGAGTTGCACGTCTGGTAGACATTTGTGGCATTCAACAGTTTAAACAGTTTTCAGGTTTGAACATATGCCTTTGCCTTAAAATCTGAATAGTTTCAGGTATTTTATGTAGAAGAAAGGTGGTTCAATAGTGAGGTTGCTGCTCTGGGACTTGGGAAACAGGTTCAGCTCACTGTGTTGCCAAAAAGCTTCCTGTGTGGCCTGGGACAAGCTGCTGTGTGTCCCTCCATTCTCATGCAGAGAGTGCTGAGCAGCAGCTCTGCATCACAGCAGTGGTCAGGCTACGGCAGGCTGGATGTGGCCAGGGGAGGTGCTGCTGGGAGGGAGAGGCTGAAGACACTGCCCAAGTTAAAAAACTAGGGGAAACCTCCAGGCAGGAGGAAGAAAACCAGAAAAATACAGTGGAAAAAAGGTTTTGACTGGAAATCTCTGGTGTCACTTAGAGAAAGCAAGTCCTTAAAACTTTAAGGAGCATTGCGTGGCCTTGTTTGTTTAACAGAATTTTAAAACAATGCTTAAAATAGCCACACAAACATGTAAATCTTTTATGTTATGGCTCTGCCACACAGGTAGCAAAGCTCTCTCTGTTCCTTTGTTGGCTGTTTTCTTGTTTGGAAGATGCTTTTAATTTTAGCTAACTGTTGCATCCAGATGTTTTGGATATCAATATAGCTCATTTGTTCTGCTGGTATGGTAAGCAGAATCTCTTAAATTTGACCTGATTTACTAACTTTTCATATGAAAGTGGTTGAGCTTTTCTACATCTCCACTCCCCCAAAGAAAAAAAGAATTTGCAGCCACTTCTAATGAGCAGTGTCTTTAGTAGTGTCATAGAGTTAAAAATATTTTGGATTTAAAAATCTTTCTGTTGAAAATAGGGCACTGTCATTGCTATAAATTGAAAATATAGACTAGACAGCAATTACCAAGCTCTGCAAACATGTTTTCATTGTTGAGAGTCAACACTCCCAGGAACAGTCTCTGTATACTGACAGATAGGTGATAAATTAATTCATTTAATATGTAATTTTTTTATGTGTATGCTCTCCCTGGGTGCTTTGGTACCCACCACATTTACATCCCATGTCCAAGAAAATGTGTTGGAACTTGTTTCAGACTATTGACTTAATTAAGCGTTCTCCTGTTAAGCACTAAAACAGTTACATGCCAGGTTTGTTGTAAGAGTCTTAAAACTGCACTTCAAAAGATGTTGTTCAATATGTTGGTTAACTCTTTAGGGAGGCTGAAAATGACAAAGGGGAACTTAGGCTGGGCTAATAATTCAACTGGCAAGTTATTCTTATATCTGGTAGACCATGCCTGATTGTACAGCAGTGCTGGAAGGTTGGGTAACTTGAAGGATGTAAAAAGTGTGTCTGCTGATTCAGGACTTTAGGGTTTGATTTTTTTTTTATCATTAACCTTTTTCTTGTGTTTCTTCCTTAAATCAAGTTCACTGTAGATGCTGTAATTTATTTCTGCTGTCTTCCTACTTCGTGCTGGTGCCCTGATTTTTGGGTGGAGGAGCATGATTCTTTCAGGAAGTCCATTTGCTGCCTTTTTGTGGGAGACAGCAGTACAGGTACAGCTCAT